AATAATTATTGAATAGGAGAGAATATTAAAAATGAATTAGAAAGATAAGAAAATATTAATAAATTTTATTGAAAATAATAAAGGTGAAAAAATGAAATTTATTCTGCTATTGATAAAGATCTTAATAATAAATCCTTTATTTGTAAATATTTAGATTAAATAATTATATATAATTTGTTAATTAATATTAAATCACATTGTAAATTTGGCTAGCCAAAAAATTTTAAATTTGCATTTTGATATTTATAAAAAATAAATAATTGTATTATAAAAAATTTTAGATATAGTAGTATTTAGTAGTTCAGGATAAAATTTCTTGAAAATGACAAAAATATTTACCAGCTTTACATATTTAACTGTTATTACACAAAAAAATATAAATTGTTTGAAAATTTTCATTACATTACATACATTTTGATTCTAATTTCAAGAAAGCTAGATGTTATTTTCAGAGTAAATATAAAATTAAAATTAATCTTATTTGAAGATAAAGTATACTTAATATGAAATTGATTGCTTTTACTAATATATTTTTTCATAAATTCTAGTATTAAGACACTAATTGCAACAAGGAAGTTTTAGCATAGTTAAAAATTTATTTATTAGTCTAATTTTTTAAGATAATTAACATTAATCAGCTAATAAAATTCAATAAATATTATTTAATATAAAATTAAAAATTTATTATTATTAAAATAAAAAAATTAAATTTTTTTATTTCAAATATAATTATTAATTATAAACCAAAAATTTACATTTCAAATCAACTGATACACAATTTTCAACAAATACTATTAAAATTTTATAATAATTTTATAAGATTAAATTAAAATTAAAAAAGAATAAATCAACTTATCTAATATTCTTTTCTTTAATTCTATATCAATTTTAACTTCTTTTGATATAATTTCAATATTATCTAATTTTCTTTTATGATTTTGTATTTAAAAGTCTGTCCAATTATTAATATTTTCATTTACTTATAATCTTTAATTATAAGATTATGATAATTTTTCAATTGAATTAAAAAGGTAATTATAATAATATATATAATATAAGCCTAAAATATGAAAGCAAATTTCATGATATCCATATTTACAAATTAATATTTGACCATTATTCTATAACAAATCCATATATCCTGAGTGATCACATAGTTTATTAGTTATTAGTTGATATTTGAATGATATCCTAATGGTAATACATCAAAAGAAATCACATTTCAATACTAGAAAAGTAATAATAATCTTTTTTAATTCTTATTTCATCTTTTTTTAATTCAACTCCATTAAGATTTTTCCATAAATTATTAAAAAACTCTAAGTAAAAAATAGCTAATAATTTAATTAAACTATTAAGATTTTTTTTTGAATAAGAATAATCATATTTAAGTTCAAAAGACTTTATAAAAGAATTTTCATGTCAACAATAATCTATGAATAATGTATCTCTTCTCAATGATTTTCTAGTAGATACTTTTGTACTAGTATGATGATATAATAAATTATAAAAATTTTCAACTGGATATTTATCAAAAATATTTAAATGTATTTTTAAAGTATTAAGTATCAGATGTTGTATTACTTTTCAATAAGAAATATTTGACAAAAAGGCAAGCATAATTTTATCATTATTATGCCTATGAAATCGTTACATGACAGTCCAAAGGCAAAATATAGTATTAATATATTCTTCAAATTTGTTTTTTTAAATAAATAAGTATATATTTTTAAACTTGCTGGTATTAAATTATCCAACAAATCAAGAAAAGTAATATATAAAATATCTTTAGATATTTCAAACTTTTTTACAACATATTTTTTAACCAAGAGTCAATTTTCATATACTAAATATAATAGAAGATTTATTCTTCATATTTTAAGTTTTGCACTAATTTTTTAGTCTTTTCAAAATAGACTTATACATGCTATTAAAAAAAGAATAGAATGTAATAAATATAGATTTATATATATTGAGTGATATATGAAGAGGCCCTAAAAATAGAATTAAGTATATAATTTCATTTGGAATAGATGAATTTGATTTCAATTTCAATTTATTTACAATTGCTCTTCTTATAAAAAATTGGTCTGAAAAATCAGCTAGAAGTGGGATTATATACTTTTCAAAATATCTTTTAATTTCTGGTAATCTTAAAAAAAAAAGATAAGTTAGTTGAATTTTTTAATTATAATTTATTTATACTGTCAACTCTTATTATAATGAACTCTATAGTGAAGATTTTAAGAGATTTAATTGGCCAATTCAATATAACAAAAGTATTTTTATTATATTTGTTTAAAAAATTCGTTATATCAAAAGTTCATTAAATCAAGAGTTGACTATATACTAACCTAATAAATGTATTAATAGCTTGCAAATAATGTTTAATATTCTTTAGATTTAATTTAATTCAATTTATTAATTTTATTTTATTAAATTTTTGATGATATTTTTCTGAAATATCTGCATTATAAAAATGAACTGTCAAGTTTTCAATCAAATCTGTATCATCAATTACATTTGTTATAAAATTTCAGTTTAATTTTATCAAGTTATAATTTTTAACCAAATTTACAATAAATTCTTTATAAATTTTTTGAGAAGAAATGCATCGATGTCATAAGGATTATGAATAGAAAAGTTATAATCAGAAAAATAAGGAATTGGTAGTATTTGAATTGTATTAAATAATATAATTACCATATAAACAATTTGTAAAGTAGAATTTGCAGATGGAATACAGGTTTCATATATATTATGATAATCATTTTTATATACAACTAAAAGATTATTAAACTAGAATTTAAATTAAACTAAATAATTAGTATTTTAAAATCAAAATTTTTTTATTTATAATTTATAATTTATTTTATCAAAAAAAAAAAATAAAATAAAATAAATATTATTTTAATATGAAAAAAAATTAATATTCTAAATTTAATACAAAAAAAATAAAATTCTAAATGTAAAAAAGTTAATATTAAAAAAAAGAACTAACTTACAAAATTTTGAATGTAAGATTGTACACCTAATTAATGTATATTTTAGATTTTATTAAGCTTATTAAATGTTATTTGATATGTTATACTAAATCCCATTTTTGTAGCAGTATTAACACAATGTGTAGATGTTTCTGATTCAACAAAAACAATCCAATAGTAGTTTTAGTATCACTTATTTGTTTATTTTGCAATTCTACCATTTGATAACAAAAATCATAATTTTTTGTCTTAAAGTCTCTTGAGTTTTCTGGCTTTTTTTTTAGGATTCATTGCTTGAAATAAAACATCAAAAAATTCCTGAAGTTTTGGATCACAGCTTTCTATAAATTTAATAAATTCATTATATTTAATTTTGGTAAATTTCCTTCCCTTTGATCTTGATAAATAACTTTAGTCATTCATATTATTTGATCATTAAAATAATCTGAAAATGCTATAATTAATAAATTAATAAATTAGAACCATTTACTTTTTTCTTTAATTCTGATTTTTCTTGTTTAAATTTTTCAATATTTGTAACAGTATTTAATAATTATTCATATGTCAGTTGTAATAAATAAACCTGTTTCTAATCTCCTCTAGCATTATAAGCAAAATCATTATGCTTTTATTCCTAATTTCATTCCTATCATAAATTACTAATTCATTATAATGCTTTGTATGATGCAGATTATCTAAAAGCCAAACAGTCTGAATTTTTTTTTGCTGATCATAAACATATCATGTGATCTTTATCTAATTAAAACAAGTACATGATTAAAATTACATGTGATTTGATATCAAAATTATCAATTTTGTGATTATAGTTTAATTTATTAAATCATAAAGCAAAAAAAACTTTTAAAATTAAAAAAAATAATACATTTTCAGAATTTTTGTGTGATTTATATTTCTAGCAACATATTCTGCTAAAAATTTTATTTAATATATCATTTTTTATAAATGAGTTAAGCAATATATAAAACTTACTCAAGCCCTATGGCAAATTTTCCTTTCTTATCCTTTTTAATGCAGCCTTTCTTTTGTTCTAAAAAAAAAAAAAAAATCAATTAATATCGTGTTACAAATTTTCACGTGAGAACATTCATTTCATTGGACAAAATCGATGTCACATGACTAATCGTATGTCTAAAATTTAAGCATTTTATAAGAAAATCAAATGCCTAATGCTCAAAAATTTTCTAGTTAATTAAAGATTCGAAACCATAAATTTTATTCTGCATTGTCTATAATATTATTATTACGGATTGTTTTCTCTTTATAATGTGTAAAAAAAAAAGTTTTAGGATATTGGAATTTGATGATTTTATTTCTATTTATAGATGATCTGCACCATACACAACTCATAGTTAATTTTAAGTTTAATAGATAGTATAGTGTGAGAATATTTATTTGCTTTCTCAATAGACCAATCTTTTAATCGTCTAAAAGTTTCTTTATCATTACTTAGTCCAAATACTGCACAAGGTCCTTTATTCTGTCGTGGTCTACCCATTTGTAAATAGGAAAAGTTTTTGATCTCGAAAAATAATTTTTAGATTTGATTTTTATGTGATAACGCGTAATTTTAATAAACGGTACTATTTGTTATTTTTACAATAATATGGGTTGATTGCTAGGAAAACCAGGTTCCGGGAATTTTTTAACAAAATTGAGATTTTTATTGCATTTAAGTTTTTGATGTTATTATATTAAAATGTATTAAGCTCTTAATTTAAGTCAAAAATTTCTCGGGAACCTGATTTTCCTAGAAACCCTCCCATATACATAATATATTTGTCGATCACTTAAATTAAACTATATTAGCTAATCATATGATATTTAACTATGCTTTGCGGTTAGTGCCTTAATACCGTAATTATGAAAAAAAATATATACAGTAAATTAAATTGCTCGTGCAGTTACCGAATGGTTTTTAACAGCCAATAACCATCGACTTGAAAAAATGTTTATGTATTTACTCCACGCGATTCTTTTTTTTTTCATTTAAGGAAAATGTCGAAACCAGAAAAATATCGCTTGAAACATTCTATGACGGTAACTGTTATTTATAAAGAATTGGTTCATTTTTATTATTAAAACGCGTATAACTGTAACTTACTGTGCAAATTCACTCGTGAAAGAAAAGGAACCGACGAAAACTTCCTTTTATGGGGTGAGTTTCAACAATAATGACACTCACGGAAACGCTATTTTTGCGGTTGTTGGTGGACGTAATGTAAGATAACATTTCTTTCAACGCGTATTTTGAAATTTCTGCAACTTTGAAATACTGATATATTTTATTTAGGTTATAGTCGCTCGTTTCGATAGGGATAAACCTATAGCACTTAGCGTGGTCCAAATCTATGTGGATGACGATGTAATTACCAATTCTTATTATGTATAATGTTCATACTTTTACAATTTTGAAATATTTATTGTGTTTTAGGAAGAGGAAAATTTTTACTGCTGTGCTTGGTCTGTTGATCCGAACGTTGGAGCGCCGTTGCTTGCTGTTGCTGGCGCAACAGGAATCCTCAAAATCTTAAACACAAGCGTTGGAATTGCCGTGAAGGTATTACTTTAAGAAATGAATGTTTATATAAATTGGATTTTATTAATTTTGAATTCCTTATACTGAAATAAACAGGCTCTTACAGGACACGGTGATGCAAGTTCGATATATAATTTTATTTGATTAAATTCTATGCTTTTGTAAATTCCTATATTTACATTAAAGAAATCTTTACGGATATTTAGGAAATTAATGAGGTTAAATTTCATCCAAAAGATCGTTCCCTTCTTTTTTCTGCAAGCAAAGACTTTTCTATACGTTTGTGGAATTTGAAAACGATGCGACCTGTTATAATTTTTGGCGGAGAGTGTGGTCATCGTGAACCTGTTTTAAGCATAGTAATGTTTCTTAAATTCATCACTGACAAATCACTTTTATTTTAAAAGAAATACTTACAAGGATCTGAATCCCTTTAGGATGTGCATTTATCTGGTGACTTCTTGGTTTCTTCTGGGATGGATCACGCAGTGAAAATATGGACACTATGTACGCCGGTAATTAAACATACAATTGAGTCGTCATTTAGTTCAAGATCATCGTCATCTCGTTCACCACAAACACCACCGCCACAACAAAAATGCTGTTCGTCTCATGGTACAGCAACAATGCCGGTATTTGTACATTTTCCTATATTCTCAACAACTCAATTACATAATAATTACGTTGACTGTGTTAGATGGTATGGTGATTTGTTAATGTCAAGGTGTGCGGCAGACACGACAATTATGTTGTGGAAACCAGATGTTGAATTAGTGGCGTTCGATAAGTCTAACGTTGCAACAGTAGTAGTTGGTGGACCAGCTGCCCCGAGTAAAGTAAGACTATTTGATATTAACCCTAAATTTACCGATAATTTCTTTTTTATAACCTAATAACAAAACGAGTTAAACTTTCTAGCAACCAACGAGTTTCGATATAATCTGTGAATTTGAATTCAATCATTGTGATATTTGGTTTCTTCGCTTTGGGATTTCACCAGATTATCGAATGCTTGCAACAGGAAATCAAGTCGGGCAAATTTATTTATGGGATTTGCAAGATATCTCATATTATATTGACGATTACATCGAAAAGAAAAAGTCGAAAAGTTCAAGAACGAAGAAAGAAAAGGCTGTTGTAAGAAAGAAAGGCGGTACTACTAAAGTTAATAAAAAGTCTAGTGATTATACCGAAACATTAGCAGCTGAAAGTAGTTCTCGTGTAGAGGAATATGTTGTTATCAAGAAACCGACTATTCTCGATACAGATTCATGTGAGAGCACCATTCGACAATTGGATTTTTCAAAAGATAGACAATGGATTGTGACAGTTTGTGATGATGGTTCGATTTGGTGTTGGAGATTGAATACTGATGTAAAAGCTCAAGAAATAATTAATATGGATAAAGTGACAAAAGGTTCGGGAAATAATGAAGATGATCCAATGGTCTTGGATTAATTATTAATCTTAAAAATATTTCAAGAACCATTTGGCACTTTTGTTGAAGATTTAAAAACGTTAATATAATTTTATATTTTTTTTTTTTTATTTGGCTTATTCTCTTTTTGAGTTTGACCTTTTTAAAATTAGAATTATTAAGTACCATAGAATTTAATTTACTTTACAAGTAAAGTTCTAAAATCAGTTATATTTAGATAGATAATAGAATTTGTTCAGATATTAGATCTAGATATTCAATATAATTAATAAAGCTACCAATTGGGCACTTTTGAAATAGAATGTTCGTGCTCGTGTTCATATTCAACTTCCACGTACGTTCCACCTTTTTTGAACGAAAAGGTTTTTTAATTAGTAAATAAAAATATTTAGTTATCATTAACAAAAAAAAAAAATTACAATTACGTTTTTTCTTTTTCGGTCGTCGATCTTTATTAACAACTCTTCTTTTACTCTATTAATGCAAGGAAAGTAAGTTTGAGTTTATTTACACAAATTTCACAAATTTCACAAATTTCCAAATTTTTTTTTATACCTTATTTTCTCCATCAACCTCATTTTCAATTTCTTGTTCCTTATCATCTATCTCGTCATCTACTTCTTCAAATCCTTCAAGCAAATCATCATCACTATTCTCTTCATCCTTCTTCGAATTAAAATAAAATTTAAATATATCATAAGATAATAAATTATAATCAAACACATATATACCTCATGGTGCTCATTTTCTTCAAGAATATCTTCCAGGTCTTCTAATTCAATTTCACTGTCATCTTCGATAAATTCAGGTTCACACTCCAAATCTTCAACTTCACTTTCACTAGTCATGTCGTCTTCCGCCTCGACTTTATCGCTCTCCAATACTGACTTCCATACTTCTTCATTAACATTGAGCGGTGTGTCACCATAAGCTTTGCTTTTTAGACGACTAATCAATTCTTTCTCAATAGCCTTATCTAGTCGCGCTGCGGCCTCTGCTTTTCGTTCTCTTGTAGCCTCGCGCCTTTCGATCTTCTTTTTAATGCCAACAAGTTTTACCCTTTCGAGAATTAGAAAAAAAATTAGTTCTCTTTTAATTGCAAAATTTGAAATTTGAAAAGTTGTAATATTTATAATCACCGATCCTTTAATCTTAATTTCCTCATCCGTATCAAATATTGTGTGATTTTAGTTAAGCGTTGCTTACATTTATGAATCAAAAAATTTGGCCAATACATTAAATCCTTATCGATCTTTAGTTTATTTGTCAAACAAGAATATCAAATCGTAAGCGTCTTGTAGAAATTTTAGAATTGAAAGATATTGTTAATTGTATATACCTGCTCTAATGCCTTGGCATAGTTCTTTGGTAATTTAATACGTTCCCACATTTTAGCTGGCATATTTGCCCGTTCTGGAACTTTTTTGTATAAATAAATGATACCTAAAAAAGAAAAAAAAAAATTAAAACCATAAAGATTAAACGAAATTAATAAAAATGATTATTAAATTTTTAAATTTAAACACCATCAATCTCCCGAACTGTTGCATATCGAGAATTAGCTAAAGGACATGACTGTCTACTACAAAACCCTGTAACATTATATTCATTTCGACAGAAATTCTGGGTTACAGTTCTATCGAAATAATATTTGATATTGAACAATTAATTAATAAATAAAATTCAAATAACAAGAATTAACTACACTTACTTGACTTTATAAGAACAAAATTGTTGATTTATAACTTGCCATACGACCTCGTCTGACATCTTGATAAAAAATTTAAAATTTTTTGGAGACTCTCTTTATAAGTCAGTAGTGTAACAGCAGCGTTACTAAATCAGTAGATTAGATCCGATCGACCAATAAAATTAATTATGCCAAAAAAAAAAAAAAAAAGAAAAAAAACGCGTTCTTGCAAAATGGTTAAGAAAGCGATAGATTCAAGAATTCCTACTCTAGTAAAAAATGGCGTCCAGAATAAACATCGAACATTCTTTGTCATTGTTGGTGACAAAGGCAAAGACCAAGTAAGTTAGTTTAATAGCTTGCCTGTATTCATATAAGCTAGTAATTGAATTTAATTCTATAATTAGGTGGTAAATTTACATTGGTTACTTTCACAAGCTCAAGTTACCGCAAGACCTTCAGTTTTATGGTGTTATAAGAAAGACTTGGGCTTTTCTAGGTTAGATATACCCTTATCCGGATATTTAGTTTTTTTAGTTTCATCCATTAACTTATTATTCTTTCAATTAATCAGTCATCGTAAGAAAAGGGAGGCAAAGATAAAAAAAGAAATTAAACGTGGCATAAGAGAAGCTAATACCGAAGATCCATTTGAGTTATTTATTTCCGTAACTAATATTCGGTATACTTACTATAAAGAGACACATAAAATTTTGGGTAATACATATGGAATGTGTGTATTGCAGGTATGTTGTTGTTATTTTAAAGAAAGTTTGATTCACTTAATTCAAATAAATAAATTTATAAAATTACTTCTATTTTTAGGACTTTGAGGCATTGACCCCTAATTTATTAGCACGTACTATTGAGACAGTAGAAGGCGGTGGTATTGTCATATTATTATTAAAAACAATGAAATCATTAAAGCAATTATACACATTAACTATGGTTTGCTCTATTCCCTATTATATTAATTATCGATTTGATCTCTCTAATAATTAATAACGTATTTATGCCTCAATAGGACGTACATTCGCGTTATAGGACAGAAGCTTATGATGATGTAACTGCACGGTTTAATGAACGTTTCATTCTCTCACTTGGATCATGCGAAAATTGTTTGGTGGTTGATGATGAATTAAATGTTTTACCTATTTCAGCTGGTAAAAATGTTAAGCCATTACCGTTAAAAACCTCAGAAGATTTAACAAAATCACAAATTGAATTGAAAGAGTTGAAAATATCTTTAGCAGACACACAGCCTGTTGGTTCTTTGATCTCAACTGCAAAAACATTGGATCAAGCCAAAGCTATTCTCACATTTATTGAAGCAATTAGCGAAAAAACTTTACGAAATACAGTTACTCTTACTGCTTCTCGTGGACGTGGTAAATCTGCTGCTCTTGGAATTGCGATCGCTTCTGCTGTTGCTTATGGTTATTCAAATATATTTGTAACATCACCCAGTCCTGAAAATTTGAAAACGTTATTCGAATTTATATTTAAGGGATTTGATGCTTTACGATATGAAGAGCATTTAGATTATGATATAATTCAATCAACCAATCCCGATTTTAACAAGGCAATTGTCAGGGTGAATATTTTCAGGCAACATCGGCAGACTATTCAAGTGAGTAAAAAGATATTTAATAAATCTCTTGTAATACTATCATTCTATTTATGTAATCATACTGACCATATGAACAGTATATTCAGCCGCAGGATGCACATGTTCTTGGGCAGGCCGAATTAGTAGTGATTGATGAAGCGGCTGCTATTCCTCTTACTTTTGTAAAAAGTCTAATTGGACCATACTTGGTATTTATGGCTTCAACTATCAATGGTTATGAGGGTACTGGTAGATCACTTTCCCTTAAACTTATTCAACAACTTCGTGAGCAATCTAAAGGTTTCATTGGAAAAGAAAGACGAACTAGTGGTTCTGATGAAATATCAGTTGTTGGTCGTGATGGAAAAGCTAAGAATGAAGATTCATTCACCTTGAATGGTGCAACAGCTGGTGGTCGCATACTTCGAGAAATTAAACTAGAAGAACCAATTAGATACGCTTTAAATGACTCCGTTGAGAAGTGGCTGAATAAACTTTTATGTTTAGACGCGTCCATTATTTCCAAAAACATTCAAGGCTGCCCACATCCACAAAAGTGTGAATTATATTATGTAAATCGGGACACTTTATTTTCTTTTCACCCTGTATCAGAAACTTTCCTACAAAGAATGATGGCCTTATATGTTGCAAGTCATTATAAAAATTCACCTAATGACTTACAGTTAATGTCTGATGCTCCAGCCCATCATTTATTTGTTTTGTTACCACCTATAACAGAAGGAGATAATTCATTACCTGACCCACTATGCGTTGTACAAGTAAATATATTCACTCATATTGATTTTTCTTATGAAATAATGTTTAACATGTTATACTATTTATTTTATGAAAGGTTTGTTTGGAAGGTGAAATATCCAAAAAAGCCGTTTTAAATAGCCTAAGTAGAGGCCAGCGAGCTAGTGGAGATTTGATTCCTTGGTTGCTTTCACAACAAGTTTGTCTTTTTTATTTTTATACGCGTTATTTATTATGATCATATGCATATTAACTTTATTGTGTATGATATTAGTTCCAGGATGATGATTTCGCGAGCTTATCTGGAGCTCGCATAGTTAGAATAGCAACACATCCCGATTATATTAAGGTTTCTCCATTGAACACAAGTTACTTTTATTTTTAATTAATGTACAGCAATTAGTAAAAACAGACTTCTATTATATGTATAGATGGGTTATGGATCTCGTTGCCTGGAAATGCTTAGCTCGTTTTATCAAGGTGAATTTACCGTTTTGAATGAAAATGAGGATTATCAACAAGAGAGTATAGTAAGAGTTGACGACGCCGAACTAGAAGTAGGTATTAAAAATCAATTTGTGCATAATGATTGTATTCTAATTTACTCTGATTTTCAATATAATAATAGAACGCCAATCTTCGTAATGATGAAATTAAAATTCGGGATCCTCGCAAAATGCCACCTTTACTTTTGAAACTTTCTGAGAAACGTCCAGTAAGATTACACTATTTAGGTGTTTCATATGGGTTGACACCATCGTTGCACAAATTTTGGAAACGTGCAGGATTTGTCCCTCTTTACCTTCGACAAACTCCTAATGATTTAACAGGAGAACACACATGTGTTATGCTCAAAGCTTTGAGATCTGATGATCTTATTACTACATGCGACCCCAAATGGTTGGTCGCATTTTCAAAAGACTTTCATAAAAGATTTTTGAATTTGTTGTCATATCACTTCCGTAGCTTTCCAAGTGTGCTATCACTTAGCATTATGGAAGCAGCTGATGCCGGAAATGAGAACGCAGAAAATGGAATTCAATGTGAGTACATTTATTTAATAACTCTAAGATTTTGTAATAATATCCACTTTCATTATTATTAAATTATTCTTGACATGTATTGTCAGCATATAGCAAATCCGCACTTGAATCGAATTTTTCTGTTTATGATTTGAAACGACTTGAATCATATTCTAATAATATGTTAGATTACCATGCCATTCTTGATTTACTTCCAATTATTGCATATTTACATTTTAGCAGGAAATTAGGAGATCATGTAAAATTATCTGGCGTTCAAAGTTCAATATTGTTGGGTATAGGATTACAAAGGAAAAGTGTTGATGATTTAGAGGTAAAATTATTTAACTTAATTATGTGATTAATTCGAATTGATTACTAATATCGCTTTGATTTTAAATTGTAGAGAGAATTAACATTGCCTTCAAGTCAAATCCTTGCTTTATTCATCAAATTAGTTCGTAAATTTTCAACATATTTCCGATCGTTAGAAACAGATGCGATACAAAAAGAAATTCCAGATGAAACAGTGGTTATAAAAAGAAAAGGTGCTACAGATAAAATCTCTAATCAACAAACTACTGATAACAATAAAGAATCAACATCAAGTCTTAAAGAAAATGATGAGGCATCATGGGATCCATTATCTAAAACTCTAAATGAGGATTTAAATGAAGCTGGAGAAGAAGTGATGAGTCAAATGATTGAAAAACAGAGAGAACTGATTAATTCATTAGATTTATCAAAGTGATTATACGTTAAAATGATTTTCCTATTGGCAATTTAACTTTATTTATTATTAATTAAATAGATTAATGGAATAAATTTAACTAATGTATTTAATTGTTTACTTAGGTACGCAATAAGTGGTACATCAGAAAGTTGGGAAAAAGCACAATCAAAAATTGCTTCAGGTAAGCAAAATATCTCAACAATAGTTAGTATAAAAAATTTGGAATCTACAAAAAAACGTAAAAAGGCAGAAGCTGCTGCAGATATAGTAGCTAAAGAATTTAAAAATTTAAGTAATGGAAAAAAAAAGTTCAAAAAATCGAAGAAATAACTTAATATAAAATATTTTTTATTTTATTAAAAAGTAGGTTCAATGATGTAATTTCAAATATAATATTTGATATTCAAAAAAATTTTATTAAAATAAATAAAATAATTACTTAATTTATATTTTTTTTTTTATTATAAAATTAATTATTATTAAAATTGTATCTATAATTTAAATATTTAGATAAAAGTATAAAAATAAAAATATTTGAAATTTTAAAATCATATATATTTTAAAATAAAAATAATTATTTAAAAATTTGTTTTGTATCATTAAACTTTTATTTTATTTATAAAATTATTTAATACTCTTTTTTAGTATTTCTACAGACCCCCGCCAAAAGTTTCCGAACGTCATCTTTCGGCTATTTCATACCGAATACATCATATGACTGTATAATA